TGTCATCTATTTTGTGTCGTTGTTAAGTTTGATGGATGCAAACTTTCCTGACATTGGTCAATATTATCATTGTCAATGAAGTTTCTCTTATAGGTTGCTGTTCATCTTTTATCTTATACCGGCTTTTGATCCAATCCATCTCTCCTATTCATTCTTACTGCTGTTGTCTAGGTTTTTTGTGCAGAGAAAAAAAAACAAAAAAAGAAAGAAAAACTGAAATTTGCTACAGCTGAAGAGATTAATTTGATCTATCAAACAATGAAATTGATGAGAAAGTTAACGAACGGTTTCTCTGCGGTTTTTATGAATCTTCATTTATAATTCTGTGGTTGGGTTGTTGAATTAGAAAAATTGAAGAATAAAAGAAACAGAGAAACAGTTTTTTCAGGATTATTTACTCATTTCTAATTGAATAGACTATCAAAAAAAGAAGAACTATTTTGAACTATCTTTTTTTCTGTTCTTTGTTACTCCAGATTATAAAACTTCTTTTTGGCTCAGCTTCTTTGTTTCTTTTATGCTGTTATTTTTCAAGTAAAAGAGTATGAATAATTTTATGCTACCGTTCAAAGCTCATTAGCTAGTTTTTTAAAGAAGCTTTGAAAGAAGGTTTTTTTGATGAATTTGTTACGTAAAAAGTAAACTTCAAGTTTCTTCAATAAGAATTGTGTTTTTGTGTGTTTTTCTCAGGCTCAAAAAACCTTTCTTATTAGTAGAATCACCATCATCAGCAACAGTACAGGCACCATTGCCATTACCAATGTCAACAAACTGTAGTACCTTTCAGTGGAAATAACTGCAAACATAGGACCGATTATTTGGAAAGTAGAAGATTTGGTGTTTTTTATGAAGAGATCTTTTTTTGAATATAAAGTTGTGTTTAAACTCGGTTGCGAAGTATATGTTGTATTTATAAACTGACAAAAAAAAAGATTTTGCATTAAATTTTGCAGCTACAAATAAATAGCATGAACCAAATTTTTTTTAAATATTAATTTTGTTTAAGCAATTTTGTGCTCTAGGAATGTCAGTATCAGTTCAGAAATCAACGGTGGAACTGTTCAGCACCTTACGGATCTGGATATGTTGGTCCTGTCCATAAACTTGGTTAGTTGCTTTATGATTGATGCATTTTTCTTGGTTTCATTAATGAGGGAAATGAGGGAGGAGGAGTAGTGCAAACAATTTTGCAAGTTTGAAAAAAAAACAGTAAACGTGATATTGATGCCACATTTACATTTCTAAACGTCTTTTGTTTGTTCAAGTGGTTCTACCTAAGCATTTGTCCTGCGTAAATGCAAATTATAATTTCTGATCTCTAAAATCTTTTAACTGAAATAAAAGAAGAAAAACAAAATTTTTTTAATTTTTGGTTACAATAATCGATGGTAACATTATTTAACTGAACATGCCCATTGACTTCATGTTTCTACTACCAGCAAATTTTTTGCTGCATTCTTTGCTTCCTGCTTGAAGTTAAATTCAATTAAACTTTTATAAACAGATTATGCGATTTTTGGTGCATGAACTGCTTTTATTGCTTTCCTTCATGCAAAAATAAGTTAGAAGTTTGCGTTAGGTTAAAGCACTGATTGACGGCAAAACTTGCATTCTTTAGTCTTTTAACCGCTGGATAGAGTGCCAAATATTGAAATGTCTGTCTATTATATTAGGTTCTCGCGAAGCCGCTTTCACCTACGCTATTCTATCTTCTGGTGTTGCACACGAGATTGGACGTCGATGTCGACTCGGACTGCTGAAATCATGTGGATGCAGTCAAGCGGCAAGACCTAGATATGTTAAAGAAGAATATACTTGGGGTGGTTGCGGTGATAATGTAGATTATGGGATCAGATTCAGCAGAGATTTTATTGACAACAGGGAGAAAGAAGAGAACAGTGAACGTTCACCGAACAAGCGATCAGAAGATTTTTTGCGGACGGCAATGAACAAAAAAAATAATGAAGCTGGACGGAAGGTAGTAGGCTGTTTCAATAAAACCCTAAATGACGGCTAAGGGAAAATAAGAAAAATTTTTTGAATTATTTAAGATTGTCAGTGTTTGATATACTGAGAATAACTAAACTGTAAGCCAAAAAAAAATTTTTTTGTTGCCTCTCAATAGTTGATCAGCTGAACCAACAACTATAAACTACAAATAGTAGCTTGCTAAAGTATAGCATATATCATTGTAAAGTTGATGCTTTTTAGATTGACATATAAAATCAGTTAAAGTGTGAAAATTTTTTCTCTTTCCGTATTTCTTTCGTTTTTGTTGCTAAAATAACTGCATTTTAGCTGTTGAAAAGGAATACAAAACCGAAGTGTAAATGTCATGGCGTTAGTGGCTCCTGTAACCTAAAGACCTGTTGGATGCAATTACCAACTATGCGGAAAATGGGAGATATATTATTGGAGAAATATAAAATGGCCCGACGTGTTAAGGTCAAATTTTAATCAAATTTCTTAATGTCTTTTAATGCTGATAAAAGAATTATTTTTTTCCTGAACAAATTAACCTAGCAAGCCGGTGTTGAACTATAATTACTGTGTGCATCTGCGAAAAAAAAAATAAGAGTTTTGAAGTAAGTATTAGAAAAAATCACGTGGTATATTAATCAACCAGTTTTAGTTGAACGTTCGCGGAAATTTGCAATATCTTCCAGATCCCGTTAAACGGGAAGATAAACATATACCGTTGAGAAGAAAGAATCGTTCAACACTGGTTGAGCTTGTCTATATTGATGACAGTCCGGACTATTGCAATGAAAATCGAGCACAGGGTACAATGGGTACGAAGGGCCGAATATGCAGGTAAAATGGCAGTGCAAAGATTGTTTTTTGCTCCACATTTTATTACTGCTGCTTAATAACAGATATGTAGGTGAGTAGATAGACAGATAGATAGACAGATGGATAGAAAGGTAGGTAAATAGACAGATAGGCTAGCAGACAAGTAGATAGATACTTGATACTTCTCAGTGTTAAATGTGCAATTTCTATTTTTTTTTTTTCTTTGTAGTTATCTTCATTGTTTGTGTGCAGTTTTTTCTTTCTGATGCTATTTGGCTATAAGCCACTTAAGCGATACTGTACTGTAAACATCACCAAGTCTGTAGAGCCGCCGTGTAGATCACTAAGAAAAATTAAGCAGAGATCATCACAGATTCATGACACCACTTCAAGTTATCGGGCTAAAATAAATGAGTTTATAGTTTAAGTTAGAAACAAACAATAACTGTTGCGATTGTTGTGACTGGGTCACAGTGTAAATTCCTGCCCAAATAAAATTCAGTTTTTTGTCTGATTCTCATGGCTGAAATATTTTCAAAGATTTTCTTAGGTTTTAACTAAAAAAAAGCAACTGATTTTTCACGTTAAAAATTTCTCTTTAGGCGAAGATCCGACGGTCCGGATGGTTGTAATGCATTATGCTGTGGTCGGGGATACCACAGTTACGTACAGCATTTTGAGGAAGACTGTAATTGTAAATTTCATTGGTGTTGTGAGGTAAAATGTCAACGTTGCGTTAACACAACAACAGTTGATGTTTGCAAATAATGATTTTACATGAAGCAAAAAGAAGAAAACCACTTTTCCTTTGCTTTTTTTCTTTTAATCGCATTTTTCCTTTTTCTCTGCTTCTTTTTTATTGTTTCTGGAAAATATTTATGTGTATTTATTTTAATATTTTACTAAGCACTACGGATTCGTGCAATCAAACTAATCCTCCTACTCTTATCCAAAAAAATAAAAAATAAAAAAAATAGGATGAGAAGAAATATTGACGAGAAAAAATTGAAATGAAGGCCATATCAGTAGCAATTAAATTAAAAAATGCTTTAAAAAAAAAAACATTTTTTTCTTATTTTATATATACAGCTAACCTTTCCAGTGTTTTCCAGTAGAGGATGGGAGAAGGGGGTAAGATGGGAAGAACAGAAGGGGGGACATAGGACATAGGAAAGAGAAAATATCGTTTTTACAACAGATACTGATCTGCAAACTGTCGAAGTCGTGAACATTTATTTATCGTCGTCTTCGATACCGTTATAAAAAGGAATTAAGATTTAGCAGCTGAACCTATCTTTTCAACTAAATAATTGCAGCAAATTATTCTGCTCGTTTCTTTCCACTCTCCCGTACTTTTATTCTTACATCTATACACTTTAGAAAGAGACAAAAAAAATGAAAGCTAGAAAAGAAAGCTTAACGGAGTTGGCTTTATCTGCACTGGGGTAGAGACAACATTAACAATTGGAGAAATAAAAAAGAACTCTAGGTATATGACGGTACAGAATCTTCATGATATTAAATTTATTTTGCAAATATTTGGATAATTGCTATTTTCGGTAAAGGAGAAAATAAATTCCGCATTTTTCAAAAGACTGGTGACAGATATCAGTGACCGCTACAGATCTGAACAGTAGACTAATCTGATAACTATCAAAAAAACATTGAGTGATTTTTGGGGATGGGAAGGGGGTAGGCGAGGCGCTAATAAAAACTAACTTTCACAGAAGAATTTATTCGGTAGAAAAGCAAAAATTTTAAGAAATTTACTTGAAAAATTCAACATTTTCAGAACTGTTTCCATCTTCCACTTCCCTTTCTATGGTCTAGAATTTTTTTCTGGATTATTTTTTTCTTGTTTTTTTTTTTTTCGTTTTTTTTATCTTTTCTACTTCTAATTAACGTCTGACGAATATACATAAGTGATTGTAAAACAAATGTATTATTTCTTCTTCTTCTATTCGTTTTTTTTGTCGTTGTTGTAAAAAAGCATTTCTCGTTTTTCACCAGATGTTCGTTTAGCCAATGCGAATATTTTTTTTTGGAACTTTCAGCTTTAATTGCCATTGAATTTGTGGTGGGTGCATTAAGGGAGGAGAGAGAGATGCTAAAAAGTGAAATTAATAGAAAAAAAGCAACAAAAAAGTAATTCGTTAAAAAAAAAGTATAGCTGTTGTTTCTTTAAGCTTTTTATTTTTGTACACAAATTGCTTTTTTTTGATAATGCAAAAAAACTGTCTTCTTCCGGAACGACAAAATTTGTCTTTCCAACAAGCTTCTTCTCTCTCTTCTAATCGAAAAAAAAGCTGGAAAATGAAGGGAAAAAATTTTTTTTGTTTTAATTTGCCTATTTTTTTCTTCTGGTAGTTAAATATAGTTTAATTGCAGAAGAAAAGAATTCTTTTTTTTTCCTTTTTATTGTTGTTGTCTGATATCTAAAATCAAGCGAGAAGAAGAAATGCCATAAAACATATACACAAATGTTTATTTATGTATGAAAAGGAAATTTTTAAATGTTAATTATATTTTCTAATCAGCAGATGCAATATTCAAAAAAAAAAAAAAATGGAAGAAAAAAATGGTGCTTTTTTCAATTCTTTTTATTCTTTTTTCTTTTTTACATTGTGTGCAAAGATACGAAAAAAAAACCGAGGATGGAATTACCAATCAATTGCTGAATTTTATCTTATTTTTGTACGGTAAAAAATGGACAAATTGAAAACAGGAGGGTTAGGCAGGAGAAGATAAATGATGTGTTTGGTAATCCCATATAATAGTTGTGGAGTTTAAAAGTTAAGTTATCGGGACAGTCACTCTTTACTGTAGATACTCCTGACTGCTCTCGACGCAGATAATTGACAGGAAACTCTGATTTTAAATAGGAAGAAGACAAAGCTTAAAGAAAAAGTGTAAACAAAATTTCTTGGTTGGAATGATAGTAAGGCTCAATGCTTTCGTATCTTTGCTTTCATTTTTCTATTTTATTTTCTGTTTTTTTTTTTTT